TATTTTTGCCCTTCCTGCTTGAAGGAGGGTTTGATCTTGTCTTCTTAAGAGGAGGTTCATATACCTCCTTCTCATGCTCAGTCGACCTAATGACCAACAGTGGTTGCTCTTCAGCAGCTTTCTTCTTCAGAGCTTCAGCTTTCTGTTTTTCCTCCTCAGTCAGGGGGAAGCTGTCAAATGATGGAAGTGCCAAGTCCATAAGGTCTGCAGTTACGGCACTGGAAGCAATTTCTTGAAGGTTGGATGAAGTGAGTAGCTCCTCAACCGAAGGGGGCTCGCTCTAAACTTGTGCTTCGAGAAAAGCAAGTCTCTTCTTAGCTGCGGAAGAGGGGAATGTTGCTGAAAGAAGACTAAGAAATTCATAAGTATGACGAAATAATAAAACTTGGCATGGGAAACAACTAGAACACTTGTTATGAAATGAGGGAAGATATTCTATAACTAGCTTCCCAAATTTGCGAGGAATGGGGAAGGTATTCGATTTATCCACAGACCAATTCCCCTTTACAATTATTATCCTCTCTTTCCACTTCTTCTCGGAGGTAGGGAGGTCCGTACTTATCCTCTGCTGAAAAGGGGAAGTGAAGTAGAAATGGCCAGGCTCAGTTCCATGTTTGGCGATGGTGTATGTAATGAGTAAATCAGCAAGAGTTAAGTCAAGACTCTCTAACCTTCAGCGAACTAGAAGTGCTGAGACCACTCGAAAAAAGTTAGGGTTTACTTGGAGAGGGGCAAGTCCTAACTTATTGAAGACTAGATGATAGAAAGGGTAAAGAGGAAACCCAAAAGCGTTAAGATGCCCAACTGATAGAAGCAATTCATCATCCCCTACACCTTCGCCGGAACTGAAATCAGCCCCATCTGGGTATTCGACAATGTCTACCCCATTAGGAATCTTAAAATCCTCTATACAGACTCAATAGAGAACTTGATACTCCGAACAGACAAAATCAACTCCCTCTCCTCTTTAGTAAACACACAATCTGACCCAAAAGTGGATACTTCAGCTTGTGAAGGAAATGCATCCATTTGAACAACTGAATCGTTTGTGAATTTAACGAGGTCAGAAACCTTAGGGGGGGATCCTAATAAGATTGGGAGAAGAAAAAGGTGTGGAATCCGAATTTACAAGGTCTATACGGTCGGTGAGGAGCTCATGATGTGCAAGAAAATTAGACAAATGAATGAGAAACTAACCTAAGATCACGCTGAAGCAAAAAGCACAGTGAACGTCGCAGAGTCAAGAACGAACTATGAAGAGGCCTTTTGGTCAGAATGGCAACGGACACACTTTAAACCTCCTTTTGAACAATTGGCAACCGTGTAACTTCAATTCCCTTTTAATTAGGAGCCATAGTCCAATTAAAGAAGAAATTGGGGGCAAAGTGTGGAAGGAAAAAATCCCCCCTCCAATAAGAATCGTCCATGTCATCACACTACAAAATTATCTTATATACAGCAAAGGCCCAATCGGTGTTAAGCCCAAATTGGGAGAACCCAGTCCGGAACAAGCCCAGACAAAGTCTTACTTCCATATAGACCGCTGACCCAGGCCATCCAGCCCACTTACTAAGCCCAGACATCAACAACCCGGGGCGCCAAAGGTGAACTCCAAGCCCATTTACCGAATCGTCTGGATCAGCCCACATTCAGTCCAATCCTAATTAAAGGTAGACCAGTCCTGCTAGACAAAGGAATCAACAAAGAAAGTAAGTTTTGCGCAAGAAAAGTTCTACATGGAAAGAATTGTAAAAAGGAAAGGATTATAATTGTAAAGAATATCATGTATGGAATGGATTGGAGGATAAGCCATGCGAGTCCTACCATCATTCTACCACCTTGTTTCTTATAAATAGAGGTCTAGACCTCCAATAAAAGAATTGAGCATTATACACTTAATTTTTAATATTATATTTGCTTGTTCTGAGTGAGTTGTATTTTTTTTTTTTTTTTTTTTAATAGAGAGAAATTTTGCACCTACAGTTGGCATACTGTAAATTACACAGTATGTGTGTGTTGGTGTTGGGGCGGAGGAAGACAGAACAGAGAGGAGAGAAGGGAATAAGTTATGGGTATGAGATTAGAAAAGTCATTTCAATATTTAAATTGGTCAATATAAAATTTAAAGGGTAAAAATGTCAATTTATTACCATTGGGGTATTTTTGGTAACTTTATCAAACTTGAGGGGGTGTCATTGTCTCAAAATAAACAAACTTTCCTCTGTATATCCTTTTGACAAACCTTAAGAAGTGTTGTTGTACCTTACCCTAATATATATTTTCAACAAAAAAACATCTCTTACTTTTTCTTACTAATTTACATACGACTTCTTCTTTTTCTTTTTCGTTTTTTTTTTTAACCGATAAAGTTACCAATTACATATATATATATATATATATATATATATAAGTGGCAATCATTTGTAATCCACTAACCCTAAGCCCTCAACAACACAGTAACAATACATTGTTGAATTGTGATTGTACAAACATAAATATGCCCTTATGATCAAAAACTAATCCTAAAGATTAAATCCCCGATACCATCTAAAGCATTGGTGTGTGTGTGTGTATTTTAATTCACAGATTAAACAATATGCTTAGTGTCATAAGGAATATGAATTCAATTAACGGATCAGAAACATAGATTGGCCTCTTCTACTTTAAAACCAAAATAATTGTAGTACAGAGTGTTCAAATCCCAAGTAGGCACATCCTTAGTTCATCAATTTGGATCTACTTTCAGAATTTTTGGACTTTTGATTCCCACATTGTCCCTCCAAAACAGAGATCTTGATTTCATATATCTATATATCCATATATATAGAGAGAGAGAGAGAGAAGAACTTAATTTTTAGTGAGAGAGAGAAACAATGGATGGTATATGTATCTAATTAAGTGTAAAATGAGGTAGTTTTGCAAACAAATACTAAAAAAGATCAATCTTGAAGCTGGTTAAAAGACACACACACATATATATTATATATATCTATTTAGAGATTGAAATGGGTTCTCACTCTAGCATTTTGCATGTAATTTAGAATGTGTCCTAATAAATAAAACATCAATTTTTTTAAGTTAATAGCAGGTCAATGGGTAGCATAGTGGTGTTAAAAAAAAAGTTTGCGTAGTCATTTTGCACGGAAAAAAAGCATTTTGACAGCCTGATAAGTGACATTTGGCATCTGTGAGTGAAATACAAATCAACTTTACTTAATGTGAGTGCAAATTAAAATCTAAATGTCTATCCATGTGAGATTTGACCTAACCTAAGGGGATGTTAATGCAATTTACCCTAAATTATATATATATATATATTTTATAAAAGGGTTAAGTGTCACTTTATATAAAAGGAGCAAAAAATCCCCTAGTGTTTTTTTCTTTTTTTTTTTTTTTTTTTTTGCAAAAAACTATTTTTTTGGGTGCAAAAAATCCCCTTACTATTTTTTTGGGTGCAAAAAAACCCCTAATAAGCCATTTTGACCAAAATTTATTAAAAAAAAAAAAAAAAATTCAAAATTGCCCTCCTAGTACCATGGCGGCAAACACAATAAGTTGTCTGCTATTTATAAGAAGATGAAACCTAGGTGGAACTGGATTAACAACGACTCTAACATAATGAATGGTTTTATTTGAAAGAACTCTATTACACGAATGGGGGTTCTAGTTCTTCCAAGAGGTTGTTTTGATCTTAATTAATCTATGGGATAATAATGCCCCATTTACTACTCGATCTCGAAACCTAATGGCAGAAAGCAGATGATGATGATGGACAAGTGGAAAACTTCCTCTATAACAGCGAATCTCTCCCTGCATGAATCACTCATTGCCTCTCAGAGCAGTTTAACAAAACTCTCCTTTCTCCGGTCTGTACAAGTACCGACTCTCTCTGTGTATACACACATATATATATATACACACACATGGCATACACATGTATATATCACCACCACCAATCACCCCTACCGCCGCCGCTTCATCACAGTTCCACCACCCAACCACTAAATCACGCCCTTCTTGCCACCATGAAAAACACTCCTACCACCAACAAAACTGGAGTCCCCGATCGCGTCTTTAAATATTCATTACCCAAAAAATTATGCATATAAATAGGAATAATATGTATATATACATATATAGACACACACCGCACACGGCATACAATATGATTTTTTACTGTTATATATATACATATATGTGCGTGCATGAATATATATATGTTTTACTCCGTTTTTTTTTTTCCCGTCTTCTTCTTCCTTTTTTTCTTCCAAAAAGTTCTACTTATGATGAATGTGCATCATTTTTTTTTCTGTCTTGGTTTTTTTTTTTTTTTTTTTTTTTTTTTTTCCTTAAAAAAAATTTATTACTGCACTTTTATAAAATTATTGTACGTATTCTATGTATCTGAATTTTACACTTTTCATTTGGCTTTGCCTCACTGCATAGTTAATTATGATACGTAAGTTCAAAAAATATTTACTCAATTATATTCGATCGGTGTTTGTGTTTGAATTATGATGTTGCCCTCCCTTCTTAATCTGATCTCAGAGAGGACAAAGTTTTATGGCAGCACTCCCCATCCAAGAAGTTCCGGCTTGTTTATACTCATTGTTTTATCTTGTGGCTAGCTTCTTCTTCAAGAGAAGTTTCAAATGCATGATTGCCAGAGCCTCTTGTACTTCCATTGCCCTAATTTTTGCTCTCTTAATTTAAGAAATGCGAAGGAGACACATTCTCATACACTTGAAATGTGGGTTTCACATTATGCATGCCCTCAAGCAGATGAATGCTCTGAGCATCACTCCTCTGACTCTCATGAGATATAATGGGTGTGAGTACGTTGCATTTGTGTTTGAAGCTCATTCGGCTTATGCTTTGGGCTGAGCCTATTTGCTTACGTTTTGTATGGGTTGGGCTCATTTCCGTTCGCCCACTTTGTATATTCTTCCTTTTTCATCTAATAAATTTGTTTTAACTTGAAAAAAAAACACTGCAGTAAATGGTTAAGAAACGGTAAAGTGCATATTTAAGCAATTACAAACTTAAAATATGTTACAAAAATTGTTCAAACATGATCATGTTGCTTCAGAAACAACGACCTTCTTCATGATGTCACGTGCTCTACACATGCCCTCTAATGGCTCAACTTTGGGCATTGTAAGCCCTTTTCCTTCGGTCATATCAACAAGCTTCTCACTTACTCTCTCCCACTCAAAGCACTGAATTAACGACCCCAAAGTCAAGCCCACCACACGTTGGGCCAGCCCAGCACCAGGACATGACCTCCTACCCATCCCAAATGGCATTAGCTTGTGTGCCTCCACTTCCCCACCTTCAAACCTTTCAGGCTTAAAGCTTGTAGGATCATCCCAAATCTTAGGGTCCCTGTGGATGGCCCATGCATTGACCAACAATATTGTGCCACGTGGCACATCGTATCCACCGACGGTACAGTCATCCGAGGACATGTGTGGTACTAAAAGTGGTGCGGCCGGGCACAATCGGAAGGTTTCTAAAATGATATTGTGAAGGTAATTCAATTTCGAGAAATCTGATTCGTCAATTAAGCGATCTTGATCCACATGAGAGTCCAATTCAACTCTTGCCTTCTTTAACATTTCGGGATGGTTAAGTAAATTTGACATAGCCCATTCTATTGTCACTGAAGATGTGTCTGTACCGGCAAGTAACATCACCTGCACGTTATAAGTTAACAAATTATGATCTTTGTGGGGTGCAATAATGTGAATTTTTGTGGGTTTATTTGAAACCTTGAGAAAGAAAAAGAAAATTCTAAGATAATTTTTAATGTAATATATAAAGTTTCTTGTTTAAGTTAATTTCCCAATTCCAATGGACATCCAAGTCCAGATTCATTATATATATGTTTATATATAATATAAAAGTGAAATATAGACTGACCATTATAAGCCCTTTGATAACCTTATCCGTGTAAATTACATTAGTAAGAGTAATATTTCTTTCTACTCATATGTTTATGGAAAATGATAGTGAGGTATGTTTGTCAAAGTTAAATAATTAAAGCCATTAAAAATATACACAGGTAGATTGGGTTGGGGGGGTTTGGGTGGACTTGAACCCAAATATTAGCCCATCCAAACAAGCTCAAGATCTAAGTCAGTTTTAAAATAAAAAAGGTCCAACCAAACATGCCCAAGCTAAATAAGTCCTAAAGTCCGACTACAAACCAGAGCACAAATCAGAGAGCTCCCTCTAATATATCTAAATTCCTAGTCTTTTACGTGACCTAGACTCTCTCCCTCTAACCCTATTTTAGTATTTCCTCTAAAAAAATTTAACTCTTTCATCTTTCGATCCACATTCTTCGATAGCTCCCCCATTGATAATTCCTAAATTCGTCCTTGATAATATATCGCAAATTCTTTTAAGTTCCTTTCGTTAGATAAAAATTAATATTAAAAAATAAAAATAAAAGTAAAAAAGAGTAAAATGGAAATGGTGATTTACTTTAGCATATACACTCTTTATCTCTTATAATGTGATAGCCCATGTGGCTGTCAGTACACATCAGCCAAGGTGTACAAAATTTATGTAACTTGTGTTTTTTTTTTTTTTTTGTTAGAAGCTACTCGTTGAAGAACTTGTCATCCTAGGTCATGATAGCTCATGTGTTTTTGTTTTTTTTTTTCTCTCTCCTCCAATTGGATTCACTATAATCCAAGTTGGACTTATCATCCCTGGTTAGAATTCGTCAGCCTAGGTCAAGTTTTTAGACCGACACAAAAGCTCGAATTTCTTGTAGTATATATTATTTAGTATGTATCCTATCTCGTGTAAATTTGTATTTGTAAGTCATAATTAAATCGTGTCAATTTAAAAATATTTTATTAAATAATTCAATTCGACGACTTATTTAATATTTGTGTTAGAAATTCCCAACACTAATCCGACTTATTTATTAAATGAATTATACATATAACTCGTTTAAAGACCTATTTACTAAATAAAACATTATATTACTTAAATTATTAATAATACTCAATTAAAGAATAAATATTAAAAAAAATATAAGTTTCAATAAATATTAGAAAAATAAAAATTTCTATCTAATCAAATTACTAAATTGTCTCTAGTCTACAAAAAGAATAAATTATAAGACGCAAGTTTAATTAGTTATTTTAGAATTTAAATATAAATTTGTTTATGACAATTATAATTAAACTGGTTACACGAACAACGTGATTAACTAAACGAATTAATCATATTGACCTATTTATGTCAATAAAAATTTTTATTTAATCAAATTACTAAATTGTCTCTAGTCTACAAAAAGAATAAATTATAAGACGCAAGTTTAATTAGTTATTTCAGAATTTAAATATAAATTTGTTTACGACAATTATAGTTAAATGGGTTACACGGGCAACGTGATTAAGTAAACGAATTAATCATATTGACATGTTTATGTCAAATTCATATAAGGTCAATCTAAACTCGGTTAAGTCATCTTTTGTTCTAATCATGTTGAGAAGTCGTGTCCAACGTTGCAACCCTTTTTCCATGACAGTTTCACACATCGTGTACAAAATTTATGTAACTTGTTTTTTAGTTAAAACCTCTGCTCGTTGCAGAACTTATCATCAGTAGTTAGAATTCAACAGGACGAAGGCAATCGTTTGTCTCTCCAATTGGGACTCACTATAATCCAAGTTGAATTAGAATATATGGCTCTGAAATGATTGAACCCTTAACCTAGATCTGTTTAATTCCAACGTACATCCAAGTCCACATTCATTATATATATGTGTATATAAAATATAAAAATGAAGTATAGACTAACCATTATAAGCCCTTTGATAATCTTATCTGTGTAGTATTCTGGCTGCGATTCTTGCAAGGAAAGCAAGTGATCGATCATGGTTGCTATTTTCTTCTCGCATCGATGCTCATCAATCAGAACTTGCAAAAACGCATCCATCTTCTTACTGAATCCCATCAAATTCTTTTCCAAGTTCTGATAATCAATCCATCGTAGAACCGGCAAGAAATCTCCCGAATTCGATACACCACCGTACCGGACCACTTGTTTTATCAGCTCCCGGAACTCCTTCGCCTCCTCGTAGTCGGCCGGCACGTCTTGGCCATAATACCGCTTCCCTGCAATCATCCTCATCATGATATTAAAACTCAGCTCCGTAAGCTTTGATTTCAACTCAACTTTTGCAAATTCTCCGGATGAGTTTTGGTACAGTCTGAGTAAGAAAAGCCTGATTTCGTCCTTTCGAATGGATAGAAAGAAGTTGAGTCGAGTGGTTGAGAAGATCTCGAGAGCACTGAGGCGGCGGAGATTGCGCCAGTGGTCGCCGTAGGGGGATGTGGCGATGGTTGTGAAGTTGTAGCCTATGTACTTGCCTATCAAAAAGGGCGGGCGGTTGGCGAGGACGATGTCGTTCTTGGTGAAACATTCCTCCACGGCAGACGGTGATGACACCACCACAATCCGGCGAGTCCCGAACTGAAGGGAGATGATGGGGCCGTATTTTTGTGACAAGCTGTGTAGGGTTCGGTGGAGAGGTGGTTTTAGTAGGTGGAGATGACCTATGACTGGAAAAGCCAGTGGACTCGGCGGGAGGTTTCGATATCTGCTTCTTGTTTTTGACAAGAAGTTGAAAGCTAGAACAAGGAGTAGGAGAACAGACAGACAAGCGTACGCACAAGAAAGTTCCATTCGTGATTATTGTATACTGTGTTAGTAGCTAAAGTGCTTGCATTCTTAGAATGCGATATATCTACGTTTATAAGAGTAGTGGACTATTTGGCAAATAAATGACTAGCAAATTTTGAAAGAAATGACTAGTTTGCCGATCTTGACTTGTAACATCAATAATGGTGTTGGTACAAGTTTATCCAACAATTTGAATCACGCATGACGCAATTAATGTGTTTCTCTTTCTTTGGGGTGGTTGGCCGGCCAGTGGGTTCTTGTGGACGTAATTAACGGGAGTGAGATAAAGTATGGGATCCCGGGAAAATAGCTATCCTGATCTTCTAGAATACGACATCGAGCATGTACAGGGGTGAAAATCACCTCCAATCACATGGTGTACCATTTTCACCTTTTAAAATAAGTGGAGGATAATTGACCACATCAATTAAAAATCTTAGCTAACTAAATTTTTTTATATATAAAAACTTTAAATATTATATTCAATATATATAAACACATTTAAATATTATATCCAAAATACTTCTTCCAAAATGTGGTCTTTTTCCTTTCCTCTCTAAATGCTTCATCAGCTTCCATTAATGGACTCTCCAAATACTCACAGTAACTTTTGAATATCAAAGCTTCACTTCAAAACCCAAACACACTCAAAAAAACTCATGTAATTTCACTGAAGTATTATGCAGAAACTCCAAAGTATCATCCATAGATCTAAGTTTTATTCATGTAAATCTCGATTTTTGTTTTTTCTTATCTGACTAAACAGCACAAATATCACTAGTTCGCACTTTTTTTAGTAGAATCTTATTGGGATTTTACGTATAACATAAGTATGAAATATTGTTAGTACTGCTTAGGATACAAAATACGTATTGCTTGGAATGTTAAGTAGGATTATGTTGGGATGTTACTTACAACTTATACCGACTTAAATTACAAACTGCTGGGATGTTATGTATAAATAATCTATTAGGATTATGTTGAGATGTTGCGTACAACTTATATTAACTTAAATTATAAACTGTTTAGAATGTTATGCAATATATCCAAAATACCTTGTCTTATTCCAAAATGTCGTCTTCTTCCTTTTTCTCTCTAAAAACTTTATCTGCTTTCATTAATGGACTCTCTAAGGACTCACAGTAACTTTTGAACTTCTATTAGGATTATGTTTGAATGTTGCGTACAACTTATATTGACTTAAATTACAAACTGTTTGGGATGTTCTGCAGTATATCCAAAATACCTGTCTTCTTCCAAAATGTCGTCTTCTTCCTTTCTCTCTCTAAAAGCTTCATCAACTTCCATTAATGGACTCTCCAAGAATTTACAGTAACTTTTGAACTTCAAAACTTCACTTCAAAACCCAAACACACTCCAAAAACCCATGTAATTTCATTGAATTATTATGCAGAAATTCCAGAGCATCATTCATAGATCCAAGCTTTATTCATGTAAATTTCGATTTTTTGTCTGTTTTTCCTTATCTGACTAAAGAGCACAAACATCACTGGTTTGCACGTTTTTTGAAATATTTTGGAAACAAATAATATTTTGGAAAGAAATCAAAATTTGGATTGTTAAAATGGCGGGATTTCGGAAAGAAATCAAAATCAATATTTTGGGAGAGAAAAAAATGGTGGGATTTGAGTTGTTGAAATAGAGTGTTGAAAGTAAGGAAGGGAAGAAGAAATAGTATTTGTGAACAATGTATACACATACATATATATATATATGCGTGTGTGAAAATTGTGTATAAAGCAAATAAATATTTTTACCCACCTTAGTAACTACTGTTCACTAACACAAAAAGGAGAAATGGGCTACTGTGGGACTGGAGGTGATCATGGTCCGGTACAGAGAGGCTTGGGATGTTGTTGATTTGGGACGTCTTTATGTATGCGACATTTAAAGTCGTATATTTTTAAAATTTTGAATTTTCTTCAAGTATATATCCAAATGGCAAGTAATTAAACAAAATTATATTATAATTAATTTATAAAATTTTAGTTAGTAATACAAATTTTACCTAAAATTTTTGGCTCACCCCTAAATATAAAGGAGTGGAGATGACTAGATGTGAAAATATATATATATCGTGGGGATCATGATTGTGTCTAACCTAGGTTGAATGAAATTCTGATGTGATCCAATAGATTTAAAATAAGTGTCCAAAAATAAAAATTAGGATTAAGTTATGTATTGCAAAATTATTCAAGTTTAACCCATTTCTGACTACTCTATAATCAAGTAGCCTGAACAAATCTTGCAAACCTCCATTAACTCCGGCACCAAGTTTCAAACAAGTGACAGTTCAAAACTCCAGAAACTCAATCCAATAAACGAACGAAGCTTCAAATAATAAAACCCAGTTCGAAAATTGTGTTAATGGAATTCGGTGGTGGTGAAGAACTGAATGGCAGTAGGTCTGCGGTCGACAAATTTGAACAAGCAAGAATGGATGATTGAATGGAATGACAGACGGTGGGCATGAACCAGCGATGAAGTAGTGAGTAAAGATGATCGGCAATGGCGATACGGCAGCGACGCTGAACAGTACCGTGAGAAGCAAGGTTGCTTTTACCGGTGCGCAAGAATGACGCGATGACTACTAATGAGCTCGGCAAGGACGGCGGGCAATTGTAGATTAAGCTTGGTGATGATTAACTTGAAGTTAGGCCGACAAGCTCAGATGATGGAGGTGAACACTACAGATGGTCTTTCTTTGAGAAAGAAAAAGAGAAGAGATGGAAAAAAAAAAAAAAAAAAAATTTCTCACAAGAATGGGTTAAATCCGAATAATTTGGCAATACCCAACTTAATTGTAACTTTTGCTTTTGAACATTTATTTTAAAGAAAATGATAGGGTCACCGAATGATTTCTCCGAATGATTTCATCTCATCTACTTAAACAGTTTCCAAAAAATAATTATTTAACACGTGATAAGTATAGCCAATCACGTCAAATTCAGTGTTGATTCGGGGATTCCTTTTCGATCTCCCTATCATTATTCTTATTTTAAATTTATTGGGCCATGTCAACAGGTTGGATGAAGTTCATCTAACCTGTGTTGGACACAAGCATTATCCTACCGTGGGTATGTAGGGTCCATATTGTATTAATGTAGTAATTTTTTGCCCAAGGCTGCAACACAAGCATGGACAAACATAAAAGCAAGATAAACAGCCCAGTGAATTCTTGTGAATGGTAAGTAATTTAAAGTATGGTGAGTCTATTATAAGTGTCTTGAAATTTATAAAATATTATAAAAAGGGTGATATTATAATTTTTTATGATATTTACTTAACATAAATTCTTTTCAATTATATAAAAATAATTAAATTACAGACACAGTAGCTTTTTATTTTCTTCTTCTTCTTTATATTTATTATTGCACTTTTATAAACTTGTTGCCTGTATTTTATGTATCTGGATTTTTTTACACTATAATTTTTTTTTTTTTTTTTTTTTTTTTTTTTTTTTTTTTTTTTTGTGAATAATAACATACTAGTCATTTGAATCACAATTATTGCACTTACTTTTTAGATTTATATGCTACACTGTTAATTATGTACTATAATATTAATATTACTTGGATACTATAGTTGAAAACTTAGAATCACGGTTGTTCTACTTTTCATTTATCTTTATACTACTCCCTCTGTTCCATAGCATATATAGATATAGCTCACTTTTGAATATGAGATGTAAAATTATTATTGACATATTTCGGTTATCAAAACAATTCTGGATCGAGTTGAAATATTTTTTTATCATCGACCCTCGGTTTCAGAAGCAAAAATTTAAGTGAAGCTATTCATGATATTCTTGGTTCGACAATGAACAACTAATAGTCATGGTAAATATGTAAGGATCACTTGGATTAGGGTTCCAAGTTGTAATTTCATCATGACCTATTTTTTTACATTCTAAAGGAAAAGATTAATGTTAAAAAAAAAAATAGGATAAAAATAAAGTTGTAAATGTGTTTCTATGTCGGAAAAATATATATATATGAATATCGGAAACCCAATATTGACTTTAATTATCTAAAATATTTTTATATATGTTACTAGGATTGTGTTATTGGGTCCTACGTTTCCTTTTATATGTATATTTACACATCAAAATGATCTATATTTTTCGATTTAAATAAATAAATAATAACTGTTCTACATTTATGAAGTAAACTAGTACAATATGACTTTTGTATCTGATCTACTTAAAACTAGTACAGTAAGAAAATATTCATATATAGATAGAGAGAGAGAGAGCGCACACGAGAAGCAAATGGTTAAGAAACAGTAGTAAAATGCATATTTAAGCTATTACAAACTTAATATGTGTGTGTGTGTGTGTGTGTGTGTGTGTGTGTGTATCTATAACATGTAACAGAAATTATTCAAATTTCATCCTGCTGCTTATGAAACAATAACATTCTTCATGCCACGTGCTTTACACATGCCCTCCAATGGCTCAGTTTTGGGCATGGTAAGCCCTTTTCCTTCTGTCAAATCAACTTGATTCTCACTTACTCTCTCCCACTCAAAGCACTGAATTAACAACCCCAAAGTCAAGCCCACCACACGTTGGGCCAGCCCTGCGCCAAGACAGGACCTCATACCTATCCCAAATGGCATTAGCTTATGTGCCTCAACTTCCCTACCTTTAAACCTTTCAGGCTTGAAGCTTGTAGGGTCATCCCAAATCATAGGATCCCTATGAATGCCCATGCATTGACCAACAATATCGTGCCGCGTGGCATGTCGTATTTACCGACCATACAATCCTCTGAAGACATATGTGGTACTAAAAGTGGAGCAGCCAGACACAAACGAAAAGTCTCTAAAATGATATTACGAAGGTAATTCAGTTTTGAGAGATCTAACTCCTCAATCAAACGATCTTGGCCAACATGATTGTCCAACTCAACTTTTGCCTTCTTCAACACCTCTGGATGGTTAAGTAAAATTGGCATTGCCCATTCTATTGACACTGATGATGTGTCTGTTCCCGCAAGTAACATTATCGACACATTACAAGTTAATGAATTTAGAGTAAAGTGCACTAAACCCTCCCTGAGCTTTCTTCTTTCTCACAAAAAACCCCTAAAATATGAAAAAGATACTTAACCCCCTAAACTTACTATTCCATCAAATGTTAAGTGATCCTTCTCACTTTTTTTTTTTTTTTTGTTAAATATAGTGATATATATATAGTCTTGATAGAAAATTGAAGATACTGACCATTATAATCCCTTTAATGATCTGATCCATGTAGTATTTTTGCTATGATTCTTGCAAGGAAAGCAAGTGATCAATCATAGTAACCTTACTTTTATCGCGTCGATGCTTATCAATCAGACCTTGCAAAAACGCATCCATCTTCTTACTGATTCGCACCAAATTCTTTTCCACGTTCTTATAATTAATCCATTGCAAAATTGACAAGAAATCTCGGGGATTCGATACACCACTGTACTCGAACACCTCTTTTATGAGCTCCCTGAACTTCTTCGCCTCTTCGTAATCTGCCATGTCTTCTCCAAAATACCGCTTCCCTACAATCATCCTCATTGTGATATTAAAACTCAGCTCCGAAAGCTTTGATTTCAGCTCAACTTTCGCGAAATCCTCGGATGAGTTTTGGTACAGTTTACGTAACAAAAGCTTGATTTCGTCCGTTCAAATCGATAGAAAAGCGTTGAGTCGACTGGTTGAGAAGATCTTCAGAGCACTGAGGCGTCGGAGACTGCGCCAATGGTCACCGTAGGGGGATGCGACGATCATCATGTAGTTGTAGCCGATGTACTTGCGTATCATAAAAGGCAGGCGGTTGGCAAAGACGATGTCATTTTGGGTGAAACATTCCTCCACCGCGAAGGGTGATAACACCACCACAATCCGGCGAGTCCCGAACTGAAGGGAGAAGATGGAGCCGTATTTTTGTGACAAACTGTGTAGGGTTCGGTGGAGAGGTTGTTTTAGTAGGTGGAGATGCCCTATGACCGGAAAAGCCGGTGGGCTCGGCAGGAGGTTTCGGTGTTTTGTTTTTGACAAGAACTTGAAAGTTAGAACAAGTAGGATAACGGGCAGAAAAGTGTGCATCCAAGAAAGTTCCATGGGGGAATCTATAGATAGCTAAACTGATTTTTACTAGAGTATTTTCTAGTGATGCTTCATGATCAATATGTGCTCTATATATACACACATACACATACATGTATATAAGAGTATTTCCCAAGCAAAGGCTCTTGAAATTCAGAGAAAGAATATGAGAATTAAAAATCTATTCGATCCCTTTTACTCATGGTGTTACATCCAATTTATAGAATAGGACCTAACTAAAATAGGTAAGTAATTACCTACCAATCAGCTCTAAATCAAGGAATAAATATTTCAATCCTATAGCTGTACTATAAGAGATAAAATATCAACATTTCCCCTCAAGTTGGTGCATAGATGTCACACATGCCCAACTTGTCTAAAATTTTGGAAAACACTTGATTTGAGACTGTTTTGGTGAGAATGTCGGCTAGTTGATCCTCAATTCGAATCTTAGGCAACTCCACAATTTTCCCATCCAATTTCTCCTTAATGAAGAATCTGTCTACTTCGACATGCTTCGTACGATCATATTGAACTGGATTATGGACAATATTACATGCTGCTTTATTATCAAAATATAGTTGAATAGGTTGCCTAGGTAGATAACCCAAATCCCACAAGAGTAGTCTTAACCACAATGTTTCACAAAGTACAAGCGTCATACCTCTGAATTCAGCTTCGGCACTCGAGCCAAGCAACAACATTTTGTTTCTTGCTTCTCCATGTAACAAGATTACCTTCTACAAAAGTAAAGTAACCAGAAGTAGATCGCCGATCATCTATAGCTCCAGCCCAATCAACATCAGTATATGCATCTAAGTTTTGATAACCAACATTTTTAGTGAACAAAATTCCTTTTCCAGGAGCAGATTTCAAATACCTCAAAATGCGCATAACTGCATTCATTGTTGCTCTCTAGGATCATGCATAAACTGGCTAACAATGTTCAATGCATAAGCCAGATCCGGTCTCGTGTGTGTTAAGTACAACAATCTCCCTACAAGTCTTTGGTATCTTCTTTTATTAGCAGGTACTTGATTGGACTCAACACATAAGTTCAGTCCTTCTTCCACTGGTGTCTCAGCTGGTTGACATATTGTCATGCCAGTCTCTTGTAATAGATTTAAGGCATATTTTTTTTAAGATAGAAAGATTCTTTTATTAAATCGAGATACTTCAATTCTAAGAAAATATCTCAAAGAACCTAGATTTTTCATTTCGAATTCTCTGGATAAGTACTTCTTGAGAGCCTTCATTTATTCAGGATCATTCCCTGTAACCACCATGTCATCTACATATACAATGAGTGCAGTGATCTTACCCTGTTGTTTCTTCAAAAATAACATGTGGTCGGAATTGCTCAAACGGTAGCCAAAGGCTATCATAGACTTTGTGAATCTTCCAGACCATGCTCTTGGAGATTGTTTCAACCCATATAATGATTTCTTTAACCTACAGACCTTTCAACTATACTTTTCGGGTATCATGCATCCTGGTGGGAGATCCATGTAGACTTTTTCAGATAATTCACCATGCAGAAAGGCATTCTTCACATCGAATTGTTGCAATGGCCAATCCAAGTTCGCAGCTAAAGACAACAAAACTCGAACCGTGTTGATTTTGGCTACAGGTGCGAACGTCTCTGTGTAATCGATGCCATAGGTTTGGGTGTAACCTTTCACCACCAATTTTGCTTTAAAGCGTTCAACTGTGCCATCGGCTTTATAGTTCATAGTGTAAATTCATTGACATCCAACTGGTTTCTTTCCTGGTGGAGGATCAATGAGTTCCCAAGTTTCATTTTTCTGCAAGGATTTCATCTGCTCGTTCATAGCTGCTTTCCAAATGACACATAATAGATACAGTAGATAATTGATTTACAAATGACAAATTTGATTCTGACAAACGATGATTCGACACATAATTGCTCATGGGATACTTAACTTTACTAGAAAGTTCGGATTCATATGTGGGTTTAGGAATACCTATTGTGTGATGCGGTGGTAAGTATTTTCTGAGTGGCTCAGGCACTAACTCAAGAACATCCTCAGCAGGCGATTAGTTTGACATGTCAGTTGCGAGGGACTCGAACTCGGACGACGATGGGCTTGGAGCCACACTTTCCATTAAGGTTGGCGTCATACTTTCCATTGCTGGGCGTTCATCACCACTTTGATTCAAACTTATACCACTTGAATCCAATTCACTTGATTCCTGATTGGTTGGTCCAACTTATGAGTCATCAACATTAGAATCGTCGTCCTCAAAAGTGTGATAGTAATAATCTAGAGTCTGAATTTCGTTCTGGTATTCCCCTTGAAGTTCAGACGCAGAAGAAAAATACATCGAGTCTTCATGGAAGACAACATCTATTGTGATAAACATTCGTCGAGTTGGAGGGTGATAACAGCGATACCCCTTTTGATGAGTAGCATATCCGAGAAAAACACATCGCAATGCGCGAGGAGTTAGCTTGTTGCGTTGATACTTATGGAGGTGTACAAATGCTACACAACCAAAGACATGAGGAGGTAGATTTGGGACAGTTGGGGCAACAACTGCGTCAGTGAGAGCCTGCAATGGTGCCCGGAAGTCAATAGAGCTGGAAGGTACTCGATTGATTAGATATGCTGCAGAGGTAAGTGCTTCTCCCCAATACGATAATGGCATATGTGCTTCTATCAATGAAGCACGAACAACCTCCAACAAGTGGTGATTTTTTCGCTCTGCAACCCCGTTCTGCTGGGTTGTATTGGAACAAGTGGTTTGATGAATAGTTCCATGTGCTTCTAAAAACTGCTGAAGGTCAAAACTCTGATATTCTCCACCATTGTCACTACAGAGAACCTGAACATGTGCATTGTATTGAGTTACAACCACTTTATGAAACTTCTGAAACAATAAGTTTACTTCACCCTTGGATTTCATCAAGCATAACCAGGTCATCTTGGTACAATCATTAATAAAAGTAACAAACCAACGGGATCCATCTAAAGTAGTGACTTTAGACGGACCCCAAACATTAGAATCTATAATCATAAAAGGAAGTGGACTTTTATGCAAACATAATAGATACGACACACGGTGGCTCTTTGCTAGTTCATAAACATCATAGTGGAAATTAGAAACATCAAATTTTGCAAACAAATTAGGAAATAATTTTTTCAAATAACCAAAGTAAGCATGCCCCAGACGTCGATGCCATAGCCATATTTCAGATTTTTTTATTTCCCCCTCAGAACCATCCACTGTCAATGCTTGTCATAGCTTGTCGGAACTATTGGACATCAAGTCCAAGTAATACAGTTTCCTTCGCCTAATACCACAACCAATCGTCTGCTTTGTTTGGAAATCCTTAAACACACAAAAATTAGGCAAAAAATGACAACACAAGATAAAGCTGTGGTTATTTGGGAAACTGACAAAAGACTAGAATCTAAAGATGAAACAACTAAAACAGAATCTAAATGCAGATTATCAGTGAGTGTCAAAGATCTTTCCCCAATAACTGGGGTCGAAGTCCCATTGGCAGTAGAAACAAATATGTGTGAGGATGAATTAAGAGGTGAGACCTGTCTAGAATCAAATGTCATATGATATGTGGCACCAGAATCAATTATCCATGCACTATTAGCAACATGTGTAGAAATATTGAAATTCTTACCACCAATATTTGTTGTCTTAACAACTGTTGCAGTGGAGGTCTTTGTGGAATTCTTCTTCCAACGACGATGATCCCACCATTCCGGATATCCCACAAGTTTGAAATAGCGACTCTTAGTATGACCAAGCTAGTTGCAATGAGTGCATTTCACTATAAGAAAAATGATTATTTACAACGAAATATTTATAACATGCAAAATTACACCTTGTTAAAAAGAAATTTTACAATATGCTTCCATGGGCGTTGTCAGATTGAAAACATACAACGTTATTTGAAAATTTTTAGCACTAATTTTAATTCAATTTCCCGCGAGCACATGTCTATCGCCTGTGTATATATTCCCGCTGATATTTTCACTACTTGGCTTGACAAAAAAATTAAAATAAATGAAAAATATAAATTTAGTATATAACCACACACCCAAAACACGCACACTAATAATCGACAGATCAAAGCCCTAACCAGTACTGAAAATGTGTTTCCGTCTTTCTATCAAGCCATAAAGCCTCTCTCCCTAAAGCTTTTGCAGTTGGACATCAAAGAAAACCCTAACCCCTAATGGTAACACTGCTCAAAGAAGAAACCCTAGGTCTGGAATCCTCCTTTGGAGAAGCGAAAGCGTGTTAGGCGATTTGCAGATGGCCGTTTCTGCTAGGTTTGTTTCCAATCTATTTCTCTCTATTTATACAAGTATATATGTGTGTCTGTATGTTTGTACTTACGGTCGATCCTTGATCACTTTGATCGTTTACTCTGCTCGTCATCTCTATTTCTATCCATCCCCGACTTAGATTGAGTTGCAGAGATAGGGGAAACCTCGGCATAAGGGTTTGGCGCCAATGCATAAATCTGACTTCATCAATTTTGATTCTTATTTTTCTAATTGCATAATCAATATACAAACTGATCTTGTTTTCATTTTTTTTTTCTCTGTTCTTTATCAGTAAATTAATTAGTAATTATTTGGTTTTTCTCATATTCAATTAGGCACTTTGAATTGAAGCTAGTGAATGGGAATTTTAGTTTGAAATTTTGAAGATATTGGTTATTATGAATTTGGTGTTTCTCCATTCTTCCTTCTTATATTTATTTGGGATGTTAAAGCAAGGATTTTCAATTTTGGACTGCTATAGGAAACAAGTTGTTAAAATCGTGGTGTACATAATAATCTACATGACAGTTAAAAAAAATCGTTCATGATCAATGAGACAGCTTTTGAATGCCTCAATTATCCCAATTAAAATGTTTTTTGAGTGACAAAAATTAAGAAAGCTGGTTTATAATATGCTTGGATCTCTTTTTAGAGAATAGTTCTCAAAAAATCCAATCACTAAAGTATGAGTTTTAGAGAACAGCTTGAACAAGTTCTTAGAGTTTTGGGAATAGAGTTTCCATCTTTGAGAAAACACGGAGAACTCCAACTTAAAATGACTGAACTTACTCCGGCTGTTCAAAACATCATCCGTTCCTCAGCCACAAATTCCTTTCCCTAGACCTGCAAATCAACTCTTCCTCATCTCTCCCGGTACCTTATATTTGACTCTTACTACCTATCTTCAGCATCTACATGTAATCATCCATCCTTCTCTCTCTCCCAAAGATTTTTGGTTTTTTTTTTTCTTTAAAAAATACAAGATTCACTCTAATCTTATATTCAATTTTATAAAGATAGCTTCAATTTTCTTTTTTTCTTTTTCTTTCTCTCGTTCTATTGTCGATTTTGTTGGTTGAGTTTGCATTTCTTTAATGTCTGGGTTTCTCTTTTGTTGGCTGGATTTCTCTATTTGTATTCAAGTAATATATATATATATATATATATATATATATATATATAACGTCCCTAGGCCCTTTGTCTTGTAGACTGAGAACTCTTGGAGAACCTAAAATCGATGTAACAAATAGTTGGTCCTATTCAAAAAATAAATTGGCAGAATCCATCTTTATTTTTTTCCCCCTTTTTGAGAACTTGTGAGTATAGAACTATGGATTTCTTTTTCTTATGAATGGAGAACTCTTGGAGAATGCTATGACTATTTATAGTGTGTCAATTGTACACATGATCTTTGTTTGCAGAGAGTCTCATCAGATCAAACCCAACGGTGGTTTGGGACTGATATATTTATTCAAGAGTATAGATCCTACAAGTGGTTCATGTTAATTAACTATTTGTTCATTGGTCAAAATGACAAGGTGATTATTTTTTATGAAGTACAAAGAGGATCTAGATTTAATTCATTAAAGAAATGTTAGCTGTAGTCAAGTATTCTGAATTAAGTAAATTTTAGTGAAGCAAGCAAAAGAAGTCATGACCTCATAGGATAGAATCACATATTTTTACAAGTGATGCTCCAACTTCTGTATAGATGATGCCATTTTTATCTATTTTTTTCATGCCATCCTATAAAGGGAAGAAATATATGCTTGTACTATTGATTGCCTTTTAATATACACTATCCGTTTTTTAAATTCATCTTCTTCTTTCTCTTATAGAGGCATAGCAATGAGATGAGATTGAAAATTTGATTCTGTTATTAATAAATTGCTCTTTGCTGCCTATATATACTTCATTTAGGGTTGAGAGGAATAGAGCTTTCTCCCTCCAAAAAACTCGAAGATAACAGCACTAGTAACACTTGTTTGGGAGAGATGGAATTTGACAGACAACATTTTCAGATAATTGTAGTGGTATTTTCCCTTTTTACTCATTCTTGATTTTTCATGTTGTGTGCTATTTTATTTTATTTTTGCCAAGTTTTGTTCCTTCGGTTGTTAGGTTTTTAAGGGATGACTACATATGAGGAAGTATGGTACACTTTGACTGTTGGTGATTTTTTTGTGTGTAAAAGTTGAGTTTGGTGGTTTTATGTAGAGGAGGTTGTATTTACAATGTGGTATTGGAAGTGTTGCTCAGTCTTCTACTGGATGTTGTGCTATAACCTATTGTTGTTGTCACTGGGATGTTTTGTTGGCTTTATTTGCTGAATTCTCCTTGCTACTTGGTTCATAGTCATTCTAAACACCAAAGGACATTTAGCTTAGTGGTATAATCTCCCCGTCCTCAAAGAGAATGATAGGGGTTCGAGCCCATTCTGGGCAAAAAGTATGTGTTTCTTGCCAATAAAAAAAAAAAAAGTCATTCTAGACCTTTTTTTTATTTTTATTTTATTTTTTTACATTTATTTTTTTTTGGTCTTGTTCTTTTGTTTGGGCTCTATTTTGGTTTGCAAAAAATTGGTGGGTGTAGGGTTTTTGTGATACCCCTCGGATCCGAGACACGGGTTGATCAGGCCCAGACCCAAACCCATGGGAATATCAAACAATTAATATTTTATAATGAACACGGAATACAAAATAAATTAAGAAATGAAATTAAAGCTGGAAGGAATTAAAAATAGAATCCGCAAAATATTATAATTATTAAAATCCATCAAACCCAAACTCCAAAACTCCATCAGTTTACAACTTGGGTATCCATCTCTAGTGGACCCCTATTAAAATCCAACCGGAAGATAGAACAATTGTAATAAACGTTCAGAAATAAAACTATAGAGAGAGCCCTACATCGTCGGAAGAGTGAATAGAGACCTCTGCTCAGCATGAACACGTCTAAGCCTGGAACTGTCGTGTACCTGAAAAATAGAAGTGGGTCAGGCCCATGCGCAAGTTCTATACTACTACAATCCAAATAGAGGCCCGATACGTATGTACATCCTAAACAATTCAACAATAGCTAATAGTCCGTAAATATATATATAGTCACACTAAAGGACTCTCACTGGACTACAGGCCGGTCTAAACCTGAATAGAGGTAACATGCTAAAACGCACACGAAATGGGCATATGTACCTATACCTAAACAGGGTACACCTCTAACCATCGTAGCCAGCTACACATCCCGATGCATATACGTTCCCTAGCCATCGGTCCTGAGGCTCAAGTTCATACCGAGGCACCATAACAGTACATATATAAAATCCATCCAAAATCCCTGGTATTGCCGCTCAACAAGTAGTTGCCATGACAATACAAATCCACGAGACTTAACTTTTAGTTAATCCCATCCTTATTCCAAGTAGGTGGGTAATGGTATTGATTTAAAAACCAAACCCATCCTTAGTATGCCACCGTCCCATACCGGTGCCTACTTTCCAATCCTCCAGTAGTCAATAATACCAATAAATCAAGTATATATCAACTAAATTCCAACATCCAACATTCAATGTTAGCAGTGATAAAATAAGCATTGATAAACAGGGTCACAACAACAACATATACATGCCCAATTTAAGTTGTTCCCTTTAGTCTGATATAAAGACAGAATTAATTAAAACTTCCATTTAACACCTTACAAATGACATACAGATATGTAGGGTATGTATCACAAAATCCTAACCCCCACAGTTGATACTAACTGTGATAATGTAAGCATCAAAACAATATTCACAGTATGTATGTAGACATGCTCAAATTATAGTGTTCCACAAAACCGATCTAGTGTTAAACTCAAATCCTCCTAGTATTTAAGTTCCAACAGTTGCTATTACAGAAGTTAAGATAGCTATCATCTAGACCCATCCTTCCAATAATTTATACTAGCAGTGGTAAGGAAAAACGTGAACCACAGAATCACAATGCATCCACAAACATGCTTGGTCTAGGTTGAACAAGCATACAACACTACTGTAACTACCAGTTTCATAGCAAAACAGATATCATTTTAGTTTGGTTTAATCTTCATTAATCCTGGAATCATTTAAGAGTGCAAAGAGTATGAAGCCTAAGGGAAAGAGTAAGGATAGAATCTTGCCACAGAAACTTTTGTTCAAAGTTTCAACGTCGTCTTCTTAAAAATCCCGGCGAGTTCCAAAACCTGGTTACTGTTCACTGGTACGAAACACTATTCCCGAACTCAAAATCTGATCTTCACCGTTCAGATTATGCGACACTGAGTCATGAACCTATCCTCCAAATTTCAGCTCGATCGGACCACGGACGAAGCGGGATCGAATGTTTGATGAAATCTGGGCAGAATGGAAAAAAACCTGTGCGACCCAGTTACTGTTCACGAGTACGAATCACTGTTCCCGAGGTCAAACTCTGATCTCCACCGTTCAGATTGTGCGTCACTGAGTCGTAAACCTCTCCTCCAAAATTCAGCTCGATCAGACCACGGACGAAGCGGGATCGGAGCTTTGATTAAACCTTGGCAGAATGTGAAAAACTGCGTTTTTCCTTCTCCACTTCCACAAAACGTGTGCTTTGTTTAAAAAAACCTACACAGACGTCTACCTTATACTTATAGAGTTTTCCTAAACCCTAGGTTCATTTAAATCCAACTCACAATCCTAACCGGCCCATCCAGTTAACGTAGAAACCTACGACGGCTACAATATAAAACCCTAATTTATACTGTAATTAAAACCCTAGTTAGATGTATTTACCTAATTACCCTATTCACCATTAAATATTTAACAAATAATCTAATTGAACAAAATAATAATTAGTAAATCCAATTAAACCAAATAAGACACACATAGAATAATTAAACCAATTACACTTAAACCATTAATGTCAATTAAATAATTAAAACACTAACAAGTAAATCCAATCAAATAACTAAACCAATTACACTTAAACCATTAATGCCAATTAAATAATTAAAACACTAACAAGTAATTCCAATCAAATAACTAAAAATAAATATCATTTAAATAAATTAAATTACTACAAAAGAAAACAATTAAGCACCTAATAAAAAAAATAATGACACATAATCAAATAAAATGCACTTAAATAATAAATTAAATACCATTAAGTACCACGAATATCCTTTTTAAAATTAGGGGTATTACATTCTTCCCCCTTAACAAAAGGAATTCCGTCCTCGGAATTCACTCTTACCTTCTTCCAATATTTCAGGAAACCGTGAGCGAATGACATCCTCTCATTCCCAAGTGGACTCAGACTCATTGTGATGACTCCACTGAACACGAACCAAAGGAATAATCTTATTACGAAGAATCTGATCTCGTCGGTCGACAATACGACACGGTGGCTCTAAATAAGTTGCATCCGGCTGCAACGCAATCTCCCCAACATCGATATGCTGATACCGATCCTCATCTCGAAGAAATTTTCGCAACATGGAAACATGAAACACGTTGTGGACGCGATCCAAAGTATCCGGAAGTGCTAATCGATAAGCAACAGCTCCAATGCGATCCGTAATCATGAATGGACCAACAAATCGCGGTGACAACTTCCCTTTCTTCCCAAAGCGCATAACACCCTTCATAGGAGACACTTTGAGTGGAACCTGATCCCCAACCTGAAACTCCAAAGCCCGAGTACGACGATCAGCATAGCTCTTCTGCCTACTTTGGGCAGTACGCATGTGATCTCGAATAAGAGCAATCTTTTCAGAGGTATCCTTGATGAACTCAGGACCTAAGAATCGATTCTCTCCAACCTCCATCCAACAAACAGGTGACCGACACGGTCGACCGTACAATGCCTCAAATGGTGCCATACCAATACTCTTCTGGAAACTATTGTTATAAGCAAACTCCACAAGTGGCAAATATTCCTCCCAGTGGCCCTTGAAATCCAGAACACACAACCGAAGCATATCTTCCATAATCTGATTCACCCTCTCATTCTGTCCGTCAGTCTGAGGATGATAAGCAGTACTAAGGTGTAACTCCGTACCTAAAGCCTGCTGAAAACTCTTCCAAAATCCAGATACAAAGCTCGAATCCCTGTCCGATATAATAGACAATGGAATGCCATGTAGCTTCACAATCTCTGAAATGTAAAGCCTCGCCAACTGCTTCGAAGTGTAGCCAGTGCAAATAGGCAAGAAATGAGCTGACTTGGTCAACCTATCCACAATGACCCATATGGAATTATGCCCCTTGAAAGAATTTGGCAACCCTTCCACAAAATCCATAGATATGCTCTCCCATTTCCACTCCGAAATTGGTAGTGGCTGTAGAGCTCCTGGCGGCTTCTGATGATCAATCTTAACCATCTGACAAGTACTACATTGAAAAATAAAAAGAGCAATGTCCCTCTTCATACCTGCCCACCAAAACTGCCGCTTCATATCTTGATACATCTTATCGCCTCCTGGATGAACAGAGAACTCAGAGTGATGAGTCTCAGTCATCACATCCTTCCTCAAATTATCAGCAGAAGGTACCACTAACCGTCCCTTATACCTTAAACCTCCATCAGCCTCAACATAGTAGAATGGAACCTCTCCGGAAGCTATCTCTGCGACCTTGTCGACACACTGCTGATCGGTGAGTTGTGCTTGTAAAACCCTGCGAATGATGGAAGGTGTAACCACCATGCAAGCCATAAAAGTATCCGATAACTCATCCACACTCTTTAAAGCATTCCACTCAATAGTGAATAGAGCAGAAAGACTACCAACAGGTCGGCGACTGAGTGCATCCGCCACTACATTCGCTTTCCCTGGATGGTACTGTATAGAAAAATGATAGTCTTTTACAAACTCCAACCACCTGCGCTGTCTCATATTTAGCTCCCGCTGAGTGAACAAGTACTGCAGACTCTTGTGATCACTGAATAATCTGAAGGACTCACCCAACAGATAATGCCTCCAAATACGCAAGGCAAAGACCACTGCTGTCAACTCCAAATCATGTGTTGGATAATTA